TTTATTCGGTTGCATGGAATGTAGTGCTAACTTGACTTCTTCTGATGTAATTGGTTTATTCAACTTTGTAGCCTGTTCTTGAGTCAGTGTTTTATCCAGGTGCGCGAGGAACTTTTGTCGTGCCTTCTGTACTTGTATTGGAGGGTACTGGTCTTCCCTTAAGGTGTAGAGATCCTTGTAGAAGTCCATTGCTATGGTCAACATTTCTTGTGGGTCTGACGTTGTAGTATCGCCTTCTCAATGAGCTTGTTGCGCCTGTTAGTTTTGATCTTCTGGAAGAATAATTTAGGCATATTTTTTCCTTGCTCTAGTTCATTAACTCTGGCTTGTAGTCTCATTCCGGCGTCCTTTCAGGCCTTCCAATTCGCTAGCTGGCGTTTCGCTGCGAAGAGTGCTTCTTCTAGGTGAGCCTGTCTTGGATGGGTGATCAAGTTGTGTTTTGCTATTTGCAGGATTGCTTCCAGTTCCTTCTCTTTCGCCTTCCTTTGTGCTGCCAAAATCCTAGAAGCTTTTGCTGATGCATTGGACAGACTTCCCACTAATTGTGGAAGAGTATTGATCCTTGTTCCGTATGCGGAACAAGTTTCAATGATGAATTCCTCCGTGACTCTCGGTGACAAGAGCGAGTTATTGACTTTGAAGAATCCGAGACCTCTTTTTAGTGTAGCGTCAAGAAGTAGATCTAGATATATGAATTTGTGATCTAACCCCGGGGCATAAGGTAGTTGACTGATGCCCGTTGCTTGGACTGCTCCTCTGAGGTGCTCTGAGATTAGAAAAAAGTCGATCCTGGAGGCTGAGACGTGTTGACTGCGATTGCACTTGAGATAAGTGAAAGCTTTGGTTAATGTATGCCTCATACGATATGGATCTATTAGTTGATGTTTCATCATGAGGTTGTATATAGATGTTGCACCGTTCCACAGTGCTCCCTCCGTTGCCGATGCTCCTCCGGACATTCTATTTATTCCCTGGTCTAGTGTTGCATTCCAATCCCCAACCATTATTAAATGAGTTTGAGTGGTGCAATGTGGAGAAAGAAAATTTATGAGTTCATCCTGGTCTAGTGTTGCATTCCAATCCCCAACCATTGGAGTGAGAGCCTCCTGAAATTGAGGTGCAAGTGTGCCATCCTGGATTTCCTGGTTCGTCACCGTGATGAGGGCCCCCGTCTTGTGTACTGCAATTTCCCAATCCCGGTGAGCAATGTTCCACCGGCATGGGATGAGATTGCGTAGATGTTCATTTTTCCTAGCTCCCACCCTTGCTGCTGCTTCGACTGCGGTCGTTTGGTCGTCCGCAATTTTCTGCAAAGTCTGATGTTTGTCTACGAAGTCTTTGTTTTTTGTTGACAGCAATGCCACATGGGCCTCCACGATGCGTTTCCTTCTTCGCAGGTCAGTCGTTGTTCCCTATTCCGTCAGCTGTGCAGTGTTCTGTTTGGTGGTGTCTTCCTGCTGACGCTTCGCCTGCAATTGTTTTCCCTTTTTTGCCTTTGTCGGATGCTCATCTCTGTCCACATAGGCCGCTGGCCACTGGAACTGTTTGTCATATGTTGGGTTGTCAAGATGAAGCTTGTCTCCTTCCACTCTCGTTTTGAGACCGTACCGGAGAGCCATAAATTATGCCATCTCCTCTTCCTTGTGCAATGCCTCAAACTTGTTGTTGTTCTGCAACCCGACTTTTTGTTTGGATGAGCCCACTCCCGCTTGTTGCACCTTGCGCCTGTATCGTTGGTGGGCCAGGTGCAACTTGAACTCTAGATCTCTTACTCGCTCTAGGTCCTTGATCGCTTGCTCAAGCCACTCTTGGTCCTTGTTGTTGTCCCATCCTTCGTAATCATCTTCTTCTGTGTGGTCTTGGTCTCCGTCTGTGGTCTCGTTGGTCAAGTCTTTGCCCTCATCCCTTTTTCTTTTTCGACTCTCTCCCTCCTGTGTATCTCTGCTTTCAATTTCCATTGCGCTATCTGAAGAGGTTGCTTGGTTTTCTGATCCAGAGCGTCCACGTCTGCGCTTGGGCTTGTCGGAGTGCATGAGTGAATAGAATGCCTTTTCAGCTAGCTCTCCGATTTTTGCGAGATCATCCATCGTTTGTAATTTCTACTTGTCCTCCTCGACTCCTTCCTTCTGCATCATTGCTAAAGTGACGTGCCCCGTAGCCTCCTGATCCATCTTTCTAGCTCCGGTCTGTCTCCATCTGCTATCGAAGGGTGGGCAGATGTCAGGTCTGTCCGTTGATTCTCCCACCAAAGTCCAAACCCACCGAGGTGTTTCAAGGTTGTCTTCAAAGATCCAACCTCGATAGTCCGGGTGATTAATGAACCATACTCCGGGCTTGGATTCACATTCCACCAGTTGTGTAGCGTTGGCCTCCTGTCTTCTTCCTGCTGCTCGATTGGCTGGGCAATTGGGGTCATTTCCCAAGTGCCCACGCCCTCTGCAACAGAAAAATGCCGGATTGGTTTTTGTGGAAACAAAAACCATGGCCCGTTGGCCGTTTTTCCTGAACAGCCACACCTCTGGAAAAACAGGTGGTTCTCTTGAAGGTACATTGAGGCAAGCGATTCTTGAATCATGATTAGGAGCAAGGAAATCTGGGTCAGCTTCCAACCAGGTGATGACTGGATTGTTGGGATGCCCCATCTCCAACCGCTTAAGGATCATGCTGTGCAGTCCCTCCAACAGATTATCAACCTGGACCCAAAAATGGTTGCGCAACATATTTTGTCTGTGCCTAGTCGCCTTTCCTTGAGGGGCTCTAGGTGTTTTCCACGCCCTGATCGTCACCACTGAGCCTTTACAATTAAGAGAATCCAGTGACTTGACATATTTTGCGTAGCTTTCTTCGACACAGAGCACCATAACAATATTCCTTCTTCTTTTGTGAAGAGAGATGAGGGGTTCAGTACCTGGGAGAGCTTGCAACGCCCTGAGGCGGTCTAGCACCCAGGCTAGAGACAACTCCTTACTTTTGTGTGAAAAGTTAAAGAGGACTGCATGTTTTTCGTACAGAGCGTTGACCTCCTCCAAATCTTCTTCGGGGTATTCCCACACTTCCACCTCCGTGTCTTCGGCTCGTTCTACTTGCAACTTCTCCTTGATGATTTTGACTTCTGACTTGATCCGAGTTCTGGCCATCAGAAAGCCCAGCGCCCTCTGACCCAACTTTGTCTGCGCCTGCTCGACCTCTTCCTCTCCTCCTTTCAATTGGGTCGTGTATATTCCTGTAGTAGCTGCATGGTGAGCGGTTTTTGTAGTCCTAAGAGCAGTTTTCTCAGCTCCCAGCTGTTGAGTCCCAACCACCTGTGCATAGGTGAGGTCCATGTTGGCTCTGGCTCCTTCCAAAGCTGCTGCCATGAGGCAAATGCGACTGTGGAGTATGATGATGTATATTAGTCAGAAACCAAATAACAGTGATATAATAATTTACCCCCACGATTCTTACTTGAATCTTCCTCCCGCTCACAAAATCTGCACTTCCCTTTGATGGAGACTGTGATGATGTGGAAGTTAAGGCAGATAGCTGGTGATGATCGTGGTGATATAGCTGCTGGTGACGATTGCTTGTAAAGGTCGCTGGTAATGATTGTCCTGACGTGGCTGACTTGGCTGATGAAGGCCCTATCACTGATGATGAGTGTGATGACCTGGATCTCTGATCGAACTGACGTGGCTGATAAATGCGCAATCTCTGCCTGAGCTGACGTGACTAATGAAGGTGGTGAATTAAACTGTTGGTGATCTTGCTGACTTGGCTGGTGAAGGCCCAAACTCTGATGGTGATCGAGATATCGTGGCACTCTGCACCTCTTTTTCACAGAATACAAGTCGGTCGTTACAGCACACAGGGATGCAAGCAGCTCACATTCAACGTGGGGAGCCTTGTACGTGAGAGGCACAATAAAGGGGGAGTTAAAAGAGAATGATTAAAATTAAAGATAAAGTTGATAAACATGCATGTTTCCAGTGTGCGCTTCATGTTTTATGTATTGTCACATATCTATGAACCAAAAGAGCGCACTTCGCGAAACAAATGATAAAAGTACACAAGATAAACACGAAGAGCGCTCTGAAACCATTCATTTTTATCATTCTTCTTTTTCAACTCCCCCTCTACTATGCCTCTCACGTATAAGGCTCGCCAAGTGATGTAGTTGAGCGCAAACTGCCCGCATCCCTGCAGTCTGGAGAGTTTTCTGTCTGGTGTGGGTGTGTGATAGTCTGCTTTGAATTTTGTCATACGTACCTTGAGGGCCCACCTCAGGGTATCAGTTGTCAGGCAGTCATTGATGCTTAACCACAACCTCACATGTGGTTAACCAGGGGTGTTATTATCGCCGAATTTTGCACCGAAACTGTCACATTGTGCTGATTTTTTGCTTTTTTCTTGTTTTTCTTTTTGTGTGACATATTTGTGCTTTAGGGCACGTCATGTGTCCACTTTTGACATGTTTGGATCAATAATGAAAAAGTTGGCATTTCGTTGAATTCGTTGGACGCTTCATTTTAACTCGGACAATGTTTTTGTGTTAGGGTTTTAAAGCGTTCTTTTGTTTTTGAAATCTTCGATGAATTTCTCACTGAAATTGCCGGCCAAAACGACGAATATTTGGCCTTCCGTTAACCATCTCTCATGAGCCGGTGAAACTCCGGTGAAACAGTCTGTCACAGCCTCTTGTTTGTTGTCCTCTTCTCCCTCTCTGCCTATGGTTTACCGGGCAGTTCTGTTTGACGATATATAATATTATATATTGTCACAGAGAACTGCCAGGTAAACCGTAGGCAGACAGGAAGAAGAGGACAACAAACGAGGGGCTGTGACAGACTGTTATGGATTTACGATGAATTACCTGCACACAAAAAGAGTCACCCCATGCTTCTGTTTGAATTCTGATCCCACTCTTTGCTGTGACCTTCTCCTGATCGCACTTCATAATGTCGTGGATGAGGCCAATGTCGGTTGCCCACTTTGCTGCAACAATGTGCCATGGGATGTTGCAGGCCTGCTTAAGGACTGAGAACGAATTGCAGAAGATGGTGGCAGAAAGAGATCGCCGAATAGCACACTTGAAGCATACATTGAAGGTGAGACACTACTAAAAGCTAACCGCGACTAGCTTAACAAAGGCCGGGGAATGTCCTAGAGTACACACCATGAAGGGGAGAGGGAGGAAGCGAAGAGCAAAAGGCATGGTACCTGTGGGGTCTCCTGGGTGCTGCTCGTTCTATCCTGGCTGCCTGCAAAAGGTCTGTGCTGAATGTGCTCTAGTTAGTATGCCTATGACTCTCTATCCAGGGATAATTCACGGGACTGGTGCCCTGCAAACTAGAAGGGTTTGTGTGCGTGTTTGTGTGAAGGGAAAGAAAAAAAAATGATAAACCAACAAGAGAAAAAGGGTGTGAATCTTACGAGGTGTGATGAGCACCTTGAACCTCACCCAGGCACACAGTTATTTTGACTCTTCTTTTTTTCCCCTCACAAGGTCCCTCCATCCCACGTCAACATTTTTTCCACATCACAACCCCTTCTCCGTCGTTCCTACCTCGAGTCTTGCACTAGGACCACCATCCTTAAGCCTAATCAGCGGAACAACCTGTTCCCCTCACGAGGTCCCTCCATCTCACCTCAACATTTTTTCCCCATCACAACCCCTTCTCCCTCAATCCTACCTAGAGGCTTCCACTACGACCACCACCCCTTAAGCCTAATCAGTCGAACAACCTGACCTGGCACCAGCGCTGGACAGGACAACCCCCGAGCCCTGGTTGAAGCACGAGCTGCATGAACCCTATCATATGGGCACTCGGATGCTGAGCGTGATCATTTCTACTACTGACCTTACGAGCGGACCATGATACCCCTCTAGGAACCTAGAGTATTCGTCCCCTGAGCTACCAAAGGAAGTGCCCAATGGCCAGGCCAAGGTCTAACCTATGGGTGAGTAGATCTAGAGCAAGAGGGAAGTGAAAGCACTAGCCACACCACAGTCAAACTCATCACATAGTAGAAAAAATGCAAGAAGAATGGCACGTTACTCGTTCCAAAAGCAACTGCTGTGAAACCGGATGACCAGGACTGGTAGTGCAGTATGAGTGTGGAATGTTCCAGTGGGCATTGCTGGTGTTGACCCTTGATGGGCTTCACAGTGTTCATAAAAGGCATCTCTCCAACACTATGATGCAAACGATTTCCACAGAGCCAACCATGTAACAATTGCATTTGCAGCATGTG